CCTATATTTGAAAATCAATTACAATCTTTGAGTGTACTTCTGTATGGAAACAGGATACGACTTGGATTCTTCCTTGTCACTTATCCCTTTCATTGTTTGTTTTGTTCACCATCATTGAACTTTGTGTTAAAAGGGTATGCCCACTCCATTGTATGTATATTATGCATGTCTTCTTTGTATTAAAACATTAATTAATAAATTACATTACACCCTAGAACGCTACGTACACAATATTATTACAACCACAACAACAATATTATTACAAAAAATTCAATCAATTACTCAAAAATAACATAACCATTCTTCGGAAAAATAATGATCGGGCACTAAATCTCGCGCAACGCGCGTGCAAATGCTAGTATATTATATAAATGAGTAAGAGAGTTAGGTATCCCTTAATTTTATGCACTTTTTCCATCCAAAAGAGTTGTGCATTATGCTTTGGATCTTGTACACTATTTTTTATTTCCAACTTTGCCATTACACCGTTACTAGGATGTTTCTTTGAGTATTCATGTCACATTTATACTTCCAAATTGCTATTAATTACTTTATAAGGGATATTGAACAACATTCTTTAGGTAATTTTAATTTAGTTCATCAATTTTTTGTTGGAATGCATGAGTTCAACCCTTTCTGTGTTGTTAAGTGTTGACTCACAGGTTTTGATAATTGACAAACACAATTTATTCAAGTCAAGATCAAAGTGCTACAACGACAAACACGAAGACTTGAAGTGCCATTCCTTGAAGTATTCAAGAAGGTGCACAGGATTTTATTGGAGTCCGAGACGCGTTCGGAGCGCCTAACAGAGGACTCGGAGGAGTAGAAGATTTCCGAAGACCTTTTTATATTTTTGAGTCGTAGGAATATTTGTAAGGATGACAAAAATATCTTCTCTCCAAAATTATTTTTATGAGGGTTAAAATAAAAATTATATTTATTTTTGGAGTCAGATGAAAAATCCTTTTAACTATTCAAAATAGTTTTATTGAGTCAGTCACAAAAGGTGTGCCAAACATTTATCAAATATTTATTTTGATAATATAAAATATTTTTGGTAAGCAAAAATATTTTTTTCAAATATTTTTCGTCTACATCGTTTGACACACAAAATATTTTTGGGACTCAATTTCTACATCAACCCATTTGATTTGTTTGTTTATGGGAGCCTTATGACATTCAAATTGTTGTCTAAAACAATTCATTTAGCTCCAAACATCCATCCCACTCGCACACATGCTTTGGGTCCTCGTGTTTGGGCTCTGTCCGTCTTTGGATCGATCCTTCCTTGTGGATCAATCATCGTGTTTTGTGCTCAGGGATTTGGATCGATCCATTTCCTTGGATCGATCCACTGAAGCCGTGCGAAAATTCACTTCCAGAATTTTGGTTCCAGGTGATCAATCCCCTGCCTTGGATCGATCCCCCATGCCTTTGACAGAAAATCTTTTTCGATCCATTACTCCAGATGATCGATCCTTTGCCCTGGATCGATCCCCAACGGTCAAATCTGTCTAAAACACTTCATCCCTACTCCCAACGGATTTATTTCTTTTTACTCTATATAAACACTCTTCCTTGGTCTTTTTCAAGAACAAGAAACACTCCAATACTCCCTATTCTTGAGGTGTTAATCCTCCATCAATATTTCCTCAAATTTATATTATTTTGAGAGAAAACTATTTGTTTTTAAGAGAGTATTTTGTCATCCATTAGAGCTTTAATCATTTCTCTTATCTACTCTATTGAGAGCTTTTGTTGAGAGGTTGAAGAAGATTGTTCTTCTTGTTGTTCAAGGCTTATGTGATTTAAGTCTTGGTTATGAAGTCTTGTAGAGGGCATATCTACGAGCGGTTGTGTCGAGGCTTGTGGGATTCAAGTTCTCGAGTTGTAAACGGTTTGTTAAGCACCCGTAAGCTTAACAGAAGTAGTGGTAGCTTCGAGAGAGTCTCTCGGGGAACTGGACTAGCCACGAGGTGGTGAACCAGTATACATCGGTGTGTTCTTTGTCTTCTCTATTTTATTTCCGCTGCACTTACATTTATATTATTAATCCTGCGAAAATCGGTAAACATTCTCAACAACTCTATTCACCTCCCTCTAGAGTTGTACGCTTTGTCTAACATTTTTGAATGCAATACCTTTCAATCCAAAAATTCCATTATGATTGAACAAAATTATCAATAATTTTATAAATTAATTTGGGATGTGGAGAGTCTTTATTTGTCAAATGATTAAAAAATGATTTAAAATGACATTCATTTACCATGTGTCAATTCTCATGATTTTTTGGTTTTACAATTTAGTTTTTAAAATAATTTTATAAGAATCATTTAACTTGATTTTGAAAAACAAATTGCGTTTTTTGGATTACACAAATTCTTGGTTGATTGTGTCTATTATTGGAAATAAATAAGGTTTTTTAAACAATAATATGTAAGACTCAAAAACTAGGCTGTAGAGAGTTTTTATTTGTCCTTAAAAGAATGAGTTTACAATAAATTAGGACGTAAAAAGTTTTTATTTACGCCAAAGTCTTTCAAAAGAATGAAACGATTTTATTTAGCGATAAGTATTTTCATTTATGTTGTTTTCTAAAAAATATTGTTTTTTTGATTACCATAATTTTTGGTTGTTTGTTCACTACTCTTAGTAAATAAGGCTTCTTTTAATAAAATTATAGGTACGACTCAAAAATTGGAACGTAGGGAGTAAAATTTGTCCACTAAAGATTAAATTTACAAATCAAATTAGGATGTAGCTACGTAATTTTATTTTTTTATATGAAAGATGAAAACCTTTCAAAATAACTTCTATTTATCTCGTGCTCAGTTCTTAAAATTTCTAGGTTCTTTGATGTTAGATGAGAATTCAATTTTATCGTTTAGGGAGAAATGTTTTCACAAAAATTATTTAAATTCATTTGTTAATAAATTTGCTGAACAAAATATTCATTCATTTACAAATTAATTTGGGACGTAGGAAGTCTTTATTTGTCAAAAAATGATAAATTAAAATGATTCAAAATGACTTTCATTTACCATGTGTTCAATTCTCATGACTTTTTGGAATTTAAATAAACACTATAGTTTTTTAAATAATTTCATAAGAATAAAACCTTTTCATTTAGGAAGAAGTGTTTTCATTTAAGTTGTTTTTGAAATTCTTTAGTGTTGTTTGGGTTAGAAATATTGGTTGATTGTTTCCATTATTAAAAATAATTAATTTTTTTTAAAAAATAATATGTACGACTAAAAACTTGGGATGTAGAGAGTTTTTTCTAGAAGAATGAGTATACTAATCAAATTGGGACATATGAAGCTTTTATTTAGGCAGAAGTGTTTCATAATGAATGAAATGATTTCATTAAGTGAAGATTGTTGTTATTTAAGTTCCTTTTAATTAGTCTCTTTTGGGTTACCATAAATCTAGATTGTTTTTATCTATTTCTCGTAGAAGAGATATTTTTTAAATAAAAATTATATGTACGAGTCAATAAATCGTATGATTTATTTTACACACTTTAAATAAACAATGATTTGGATCAAAGCATGTTTCCATATGTTAGTATAACAATTTTTTTAAATGTAGTGATAACAACAACAAAAATAATTAGGCATATTAAGACAAAAAGGTTGAATGGACATGCAAAGTGAAAGTTGTTGAAAAGCACATCATTAGATACACAAGGTTCAGTCCGAATAAGTATAGGCATTATGTGTTGTTAGATCAAAAAATATTTAAATCTCGTAAATGAATCATTTTATAATCTCACAATCATAGAGGGGCGTAGACTGTTAATTATGTTTATTTAATGTATTACTTTTTAACATTGGGAAACTAAGGTTCTCACAATAGAAATAGTGGAGGAATGAGTGCTCTTTGAATGTCATATGATAAACAAACAATAACTAATCATGCTTTTTTATAAGTATTTCTATTGCATAAAAAATTTAAATTGATTTATGATGACAAAACAAAGTAAAATTTTAAAACTTCATTATTAGAGACATAATTTATTTATAATGAGTGGGATTAAAAAATATAGACCATAAAAATAACTAATTCACATGTAATTTTGTTTTTCATTGTATAAATTCTTGTCTTAAAAACTCACTGTACTATTAAACATTGCATTTCTTGTATCATCAAGTCATACTTGGTAGTATCTATTTTAAAACTCCATTTGTGGTCTTCAAACATTATGCTCATGGTTCATCAATGATTATTTCAAATACGCTACTTCATTGTTGGAATTAGAAAAAGATGTAAAATTTGAGACTACACTATGCTCACATTATTCACTATACTACTCTAATTTTATACAATGTCTTCTTAATAATATACATGGGTATACAATTCAAACTAAAAAAACTCATCATGCTGACATGGACATGAGGACATCGGATATGTATGAAATCTGATATCAAAATCCACACATCCAAAAATCATGTCATTATGAGATTACCTTATATATTACTCTCTCCGTCCTAACACTTTCTTCTCAGTTTGACTTTTCCACATTTTTAATTTTTGGCTTTGACTTCAAATTTTACCCTCCTTAAAAAAGATTTTTTGAAATTTTTTTGCAATCATTCAAAATATAGAGTTAGAAGATAATTGGTGTAAATACATGAAGGTATTAATGTCATTTGTCATCTTTTTTTTCTAATGAGAAGGTAGTTTTAGGACGGGGAAAAAGGGGAAGTGAGAAAAAAGTTTTAGGACGGAGGGAGTATGAATTTAGAATATATCAACCATGTCGATCAACTTTAAATGTCGTATACATCTTAATGTTATTCCCAACATTTTTGGAAGTGTTTAGAATTAAACCTTGATCGGGCACTACTATATGCGCAACGAGCGTAATATATATATATATATATATATATATATATATATATATATATATATATATATATATATATATATATATATATATATATATATATATATATATATATAAANGATATATATATATATATATATATATATATATTAAAGGAAAATTTTTATTGAGAAAAAGACGAGTACAATAGGGGGGGACTAGGCCAAAACCCCTAGGGAAAGAACACATATCGGATGAAAAAAAAATGCGAGAAAAGAAAACGCATGAGACTGATCATTCCCAGATTATGAAGCCCGGGTGATCATCGAACGTCTTGTTTTTTGGCATGACTTTTTTTGGTCTTTTCCCGTCTTTTCCAATGGGGCCGACGGGGCCTACATACCAAAATTGACCTGTGTAGCTCTCTGTTGTTATGATGCGTTCCATGGTTGTGGTTTTCCTGCTTGGCCAGTACTTCGGAACAAGGCTAACTATTCCAACTTCAAGAGTGGGATCATAGTTCCTTGTTGCTACTGTTCTCGGATTTGTAGGCCTCTTGCTGGTGTTCTTTGCACGTTTGTGATGGACTTCCTGGAAGTCATCAAAATGGGGGTTGGAGGTCCCTGCAGAGTTTAATTGTTGAGGAGAAGATCTTTTTTCAATAAAGTCATCAATTTGGTTAAGAGTCATGTTCCCGTATCTTCCAGGGTTATTTCTTCGCATATTCTCAAGGACCTCTTTGTAGCTGGGATCATTTTCAATTTCTGGATATAAGAATTCATCTGGGGGGAATTCTTCTATTGGTGGATCGAGATCTGTTGGTGGCAAGTCTTTATTTGCCAAGTGAGGTTCTGGTGTCTCTTCCACTACACTTTCTGTAGGTTCTTTTGTGTCAGCATTGGTCGCCTTGTTGCTTGAAATCAAATTTTCAGCGTTGAGTTCAGTTGTGGCATTGTTTATTGTGGAAACATCATTCGAAATCTGATTTATTTGGGCCAAGGATTGTTGTGACAGTTTTTCATAGCTTGTACCATTGGGCAGTGTATTCTTAGAAAGATTGTCAGCATCGTCAATTCCTTTAGTAACAGCTTCAGTAGCAACAGCTTTGGCCTCATGAATGGCTTTGGCTCCTTCAAGTTCAATGGGAGCTGCAGAATGGGTTCCTTCATTAACAACAGCTCTAGCTCCATCAATGGTTTTGGCTCCTTCAACTCCATACGGAGTTGTAGACTGGGTTCCTTCAACTTCATCAATGAAGTCCGTTTCATTTGGAATTTCAGTAGCAAAGTTGGTGTTGGCTCCTTCATCAGTAGCTTCAATAATGTCAGTTTGGGTAGTAGATTGGGTACCCATAACATGGACAACTGCAGGTTCTAAACCCAAATGAGCATTAACTTCAGCATCTTCTGGTTCTAAGACCAACTGGGCAGTAGCCAAATGGGGCTGAATTTCAGTAGCATTGACTGCATTTTCTTTTGATGAGGCCTTAACATCTGTCCTGACCTCCCTTTGGATCCATCTTGATGAGGAGTGAGATTTTTTGCAGTTTTTGTGGCCATATTTCCTACAAGAGGTGCAGAAGGCAGGAAGGTCTTCGTAGTGAATGGGTTGTAAAAAAGAGAGCTTCCCAAGGTGAATCCACACAGAGTTTGGCAGTTCCTTGGACAAGTCCAGTTCCACACATACACGAGCTACGGATGGTCTGGTTAATTGGATAGTAGCATTGTCTGCTTTTAATGGTTTCCCAATCAAATTAGCAATGGAGTACAGAGCAGTAGAATCAAATATATGAATTGGTAGACCTTCCATTCCTATCCAGACAGATAGTAATGGCGATTCAACAGTGGGATGAAATTCAGGAGTCCATCGAAATACATTTAAAGAATAACCATTGATCTTCCAATTCTTTCGCAGAAGACATCGCAAGAAATCATTGTATGAAACGAAGTTAATCAAAATGTGTTGATCATCTAGCAAGGAGACAGTAAATGCAGCTTCATATCCAATTTTATCGAATACCTGGCGAATTGTTGCTAGATTAGGCCTACTGTTGTTGAAACGTCCCACCAAAGCTAGGTTAAATCTTGCAGCCAAACGTTTAACCTCTTCATCAATAAAAGAAATGGATGGTCACCCTTTAAAACGAGATACCGGTTTGAAATTCCCAGAAGCTTCGATGTCACTAACAGATATATCCATGGCGAAGAGCAGCTTGCAGCGGAGATTAGATCGGGAATCGCCATTTTCGCCAGAGCAGATCTAGAGAGAAGGACGCCATTTTCTATATATATATATATATATATATATATATATATATATATATATATATATATATATATATATATAGTGGCGGATCCAGGAAAAATGTTGACTGGGGGCACATTTGGGTCATTTTGAAATAATAAAAAAATATAAGTTCTATATTAAATACTCTACAATTCTAATGTGTTTGTTCCATTGTTTTTTGGGAAGCAAACAAGATAAATTTTGATTATCAATCAAATTAAAATTACGTATGGAGTAGTACGTATCATATATATACAAAAATGATTTATTTAGAGGCCAAATAGCTCTGGTGCCCCCTGTGGTTTGGAAAATTGGCACCAAAACCCTCTCTGTTTTCAAAACTTATTTCTAAAGTCCCCGTGGTTTCAAAACGTTGCACCCACACCCCCTCTAATCATTTTCCGGCCATTTTCCGGCGAAGAGGGGGCATTGGCGCATAATTTCTAAACCATAGGGGGTATTCGTGCTCATTTCTTATTTTAGTTTATTATTTGTGTTTTCCCTTTTTTTGAATATTTTGTATCTCTTTTTCCTTTTCCTAGATTTTTTTAAAAAATATATTTTCAATTTTTATAATGTTTTAAAAATTTTAAAATTATTTGTGTTTGAAATAAAAATAAAAATAAAAAAAATTTACATTACATCTATCTCAAATTAAACATTTTCAGTTTTTTCTAGAATAATTTTTTGGAAAGTTTGAAAAAACCCAGAATAAAAAAAATAAAAATACGAAAAAACGAAATGAAAAAAATTAAAATACGCAAAAAAAAGTCTTATACAAAAAAATTTGGACGCGCCTAAAAAAGTCCTTAGAATTGAGATGTCCAAAAAAGATATTCATTTTAATTTTTGTATTATTTTTTTCTTATTTTATTCCTCATTTTTTCAAAGTTCTCAAAAACAAATTCTTTTTTTCAGAAAAAAAACAAAAATTGTTAATTTCAGACGTACATATGCATGATACGGAGTATTTTATTTTTTCAAACAAAAATAACTTTAAATTTTAAGAATATTATAAAATCACTTTTAAAAAAACCTAATTAATAAATGAAACAAAAAAAGGAAAAATGGAAAAAACAAAAAATAAACGAGAAATAAAAATCAGCACTGATACCCCCTATGGTTTAGAAAATATGCACCAATTCCCCCCTCTTCGCCGGAAAAATGGCCGGAAAATGATAAGAGGGGGTACGAGTGCAGCATTTTGAAACCACAGGGACTTTAGAAATAAGTTTTGAAAATAGAGGGGGTATTGGTGCCTGTTTTGCAAACCACGAGGGGTACCGAGGCTATTTGGCCTTTATTTAGACATAACTTGTAATATTTTTTAAAAATTATTATTATTTTATGAATAAACATTTTAACTTTTATTTTAATGATCATAAAATTTATTCGGTTTGACTCTAAAATGTCAAACTAAACAAACTCATTGGAATGGAGGGAGTCAATATTGAAATAGTTAAATGTAATATTTTTAAAATAGAAAAATATAATTTGTAAAGGACATTATTACTTAATTCAAGTACCATATTTTCAATATCTTATTTTCAATTTCCATTCTAAATATTATTTTTCACTTGTGGGCTATAATCTTCTTTAGATCGGGGGCATAAAATAAATTTCAAAGGGAACAAATATTTTTTGGTGGGGGCATTCTTCTAATTTAGTAAAAAAAGGAAAAATGTTAAGTACAAAATACATTAAAAATGAAAGTTGACTGGGGGCAATTGCCCCCCATTACATTAAGGTACATCCGCCAGTGTGTGTGTGTATATATATATATATATATATATATATATAGGGGCCGGTTCCCGTAAGAATGCACCTTGTGGAGAGAAATGAGAATAAAATCTAGCCGTCGGATCTGGTGCATCGTGCGGCTCAGATTGCATCCTGCGCTCAGATTTTGAGATAGTGCATTTTCGAAGGTTTATGGTGCATTTCGACGTGATGCATTTTCGAACCATTTTGGTGCATCTAATTTTGATGAAATCTTGACCCTTAGATCTCACAATCTAAAGCACCAGATTCATTCTCATTTCTCTCCTAAGATTGCATTCTCACCAGAACCAAAATCTATATATATNTCGTGCGGCTCAGATTGCATCCTGCGCTCAGATTTTGAGATAGTGCATTTTCGAAGGTTTATGGTGCATTTCGACGTGATGCATTTTCGAACCATTTTGGTGCATCTAATTTTGATGAAATCTTGACCCTTAGATCTCACAATCTAAAGCACCAGATTCATTCTCATTTCTCTCCTAAGATTGCATTCTCACCAGAACCAAAATCTATATATATATATATATATATATATATATATATATATATATATATATATATGGCTGGTTCCTGTGAGAAAGATGCTTGGTGAAAGAAATAAGAATAGATATGGATCGTTTGATTTGAGGCATCTGATGGACACGATCCATCAATGGAAATAAATGAATTAACTAATTTAATAAGTAAAGTAATAATGGCAATGCTACAAATTAGGAAAAATTAGTTATGAGGGGCATAAAAGTCATATCCCTGTAAATAAAGAAACACGATGTGCAGGGAAATAATTCTGATACCTCTTTTCTCGCGCTTACCATATGTGATCCACCTATTCCATTTATTTTTTTTTACAAATAGTGCAACACAACCCGTAGCAGGTCATTGATGCATCGGGGGTTGTCATAAATGCATCGTATAGTTGACATGTGTATGCGAGACTTTGGGGGTAATTGTTGTAGTACAGTAAGTACACATGACTTTCATCATCATGCACATGAGTCGTTGTCATGTTAATGGTTTCTTATTTTATTCCTTTTTTTAATTTGTGAACCAGTTTTTTCAATAAAAATCAATATATAATAAATGATTTTTGCTATTGAACTCTTTGTAATATTTTGTTTCTTTTTTGCTTTATTTTAATTTATATCTCTTTGTGGAAGAGATTTGGTTTTTTCATTAACGTTTTTGAAAACAAAAAATATGAGATTTATAATTTTTTCCTTTCTTCTAAAAACTATTCAGTTTTATGAACACTTTTGCTCCTCATGTGATGGTTTTTAAATTGTATGCATTGTTCTCATACATAGCTGCAGTACGTATTGTAAATTATGCATGCACTATGATGAATGATATATGTACTAGGACTTGTACTTTAAATATTATAAAAAAATTTATTTATTTACTGGGATTGGTGAATAATGACTCATGAGGAAGTTTATATGTGATGATAAAGACTGAAATGTATTGCATCCAAACCAAGTGTAATATATTTTGGAAATATAGTTTACCTATGTAGGATTCAAACTCACACTTGTTGTATATACTGCTCTACCATTTGAGTTTGTTTTTTTCTTAGAGACTCTCATCTTGGACATAGACCTATTTAATATACATTTTAATCATACAAATTTTGCATTATTCAATATATTTCTAACCCATTTTGAAATGTAACATAAAACGATTTAAAAGCATTACCATTTGCAAAGAATTTTACTACCTAGAATATACTAGTGACCATATTTATGTTAGGACAATAACATAATCTGATGCACCAACTTTAATTTTGATAATGCACAATTGTCAAATAATGCATTATCTTTTACCTTGATTATGAAAATACATAGTAAGAGAATGTATTATTCTTTACCTTGATTATGAGAATGCATTCTTATCATATGTAAATGCATACCTAGATTTTGATGATGCACCATATCAGACAAAAGCAAACAAATTAACATTTTTCAATCTAAAAAATTGACATAAAAAACAAATAATCTTTTAGTATATTAAAAAACCAATTACATAAAAAAATACTAAATAATGTCTCTTTGCATTAAAAATAAAATAATGCCTAGATAATTGCGCAATAGAGCATTTACAGAATCAAAAAATACATCATCATGAATCTAAACATACATTGCGAAAGTGAAGAAATTAAGAAGCAATCAAATTAGAATTAAGAAGCAAAGAATGAAGAAATTAAATGTTATTTATGGCAAAAATGGAAGGATATCAAAGAGAGAAAAAAAAGAAATAAATGATGAGAGAAAAAGATGGTACTAGCCTAACGTGAGAGAGAGAGAATCAGGACTCATCAAAATTACTAGATTGCCCTTGAGAATTGAAATAAAAAATGGTCAAACATAATTCATTCTCACAGGAACCAAAACCTATATATATATATATATATATATATATATATATATATATATATATATATATATATATATATATATATATATATATAAAATCAATAAATGGGATTTAGGGATTTTAGAGAGAGGGGGGAGGGTGGCGGTCCTCTCCGGCAACAGGCCTGGAACCTTGGCCGATCCAGATACTATGGCGAGCCAATCTATTCTCGCCCATCGAGTCTCCAGTATAATAGGGTTTGGAAGAAATTGGAGAGACGAAGATACTGGAAGCGCAGGAACTCGGGTCCAAAAGTCAGTGCGGTCTGGTTACACTATCAATAGAGAGCAAAGATTTTGAACTTTTAGCTGAAGGGCAGTGCATCAGGATTTCAGAATCCAAATCAGGTAAAACACGATTCTTAACAATCTCTTGGGCTGTTGCACACTGGTTGATCGATAATATAACTAGCCGTGATTTCTCAAATGAAAATTGGGAAATATCTAGATACGATGGGGATTTTTCTGTCAAAGTTTCTTGGGATTCAAATCGTTTTGGACATTTTGCATGCCTAGCGTAAAAAACAGGGTCTTCGAGTTATCAGATTATCATCCCTGCGAGTTTCTACTTAGAAGGGCTAAAACTTTTCAGTAAGGGTCTGTATGAATTAGTGAGGAACTCGAATGGATTTAGCAATCACCTGCCACAACCACTGCAAAATGTTTTTCAAGAAAGTCTTGGGTCAGTTAAAGCTTGCAAAGATGAGGGGTGGAGATGTTATCATGGAGTTTCTTCTGATGCTAGACATGATGAAGAACAGACTAATATTGAAAGC